ACAAGTATTGGATTTCATGGAATATATATATAATAAATAAAATAAATAAAATTTCGTTGATTAAATCAGATATATATAATTTAATTTATTCTGTGAAAATTGAGAAAATTTTAAATAATCGCCACTCTTATTTTAATAAAAAAAAATTCATTTTTATAAGTATAAGATACATTTGTAAATATAATAAAAGCTTCTTTGAAAGCTATTTAAAAGTTATATTACTGTATTATATAAAACTCAGAATGAAATTTTCATAAAATTTCTTGACGTTTACAATTCGATGATGCTTACCATGCAGAATTGTAATTTTATTAATTCAGATGCTGTAGAGTTTTACATTTAATATTCAAGGGATTTTCCCTTAATTATTAAATATAAGTCGTTAAATCCATTAAATGTTCGTTAAATATCCGTTAAATATAATCCTTAAATACTAATTATTATCCGTTCCCAAATAGCGCAGGAGAGAGTTCTAATCTACAGAGATTCAATTGCATACAGTTGAACCTCGATAGGATAAAATTCAAATAATACTGTATAGTGTTTTTGAATAAAATTTAATTCTTAAAAATTTGTGACATGAGAATATTTACATAAAGAAAATTTACGGATATATTATCTATTTGATCGAATATTTTTATATTATTTTATTTAATATTATATTAAGATATATAAACAGAAAAATGAATTTCACAATAAATTAAAAATATTTTTAAAATGTTTTCAAGTACTTTAATGATATATAATTCTCAGAAAACATGTTTTTTTTTTTCAGGATTATATATCATTAAAATAGTTAACTCATTAATTTAAGAGTTTCGTAGAAATTATTTCTGTATTTTCTTTTTACGATTCATTAGAAAATAAATTTTGCAATTTAAAAAATTTTTATCTTTATGAAGTAGATCCTGGAATTTATAAAATATACAGTATTTTGTCAACGTGTTATTTGAGTAAACAAAAACTAGTTTTGTATAAGATTTAAAGAAACCAAAATTCATTGCAAATTCGGCAATTATTTAAAGTAAATTTCAATATCTAAGCATCATAAAATGTCATGAGAATAGTTATATTTGTTTATTTTCAATATTTTCATTAATAATTGAAAATACTTGTGTTTTCGATTGAAAAAGGCCTAATGGCCACAGTGTTTTTTCAAATACAGTAATAATAATAAAAAATAATAAAAATATATACTTAAAAATGTTTTGAACAAAAAATTTTTGAAATTTATTAAAACTCTTGCTGCTCTTCTTGGTTCTCTCGTCATAAAATTTATATTGGAATTATTAAACCAGTACAGAAAACCTGTATTCAAGTTGTCATTTTTATCTTAAACATTCAGCGAATACGGACAAATTGACAGATGAATTGTTAACAGAAGCCAATTTTACTCAATATGAATCCTATGATTTTACTATCAATTGAATTAATAAATACACCAATTAACATTCAATTAACACACCAATAAATAAAAGATATAGGATTCGAATCAGATATTTTCATTAGAAAATTTATTTTTAACTAACTGCTTAAGTTATGAAATATAATGTTTAATTACAATTCTTTATTTATTTCGTCTTTCCTGTGCAAAATATTCATTTTATGAAAGGGAATTTTAATATAAAACCGCAATTGATTCTTAGTAAATGTTTGTGAAAACCAGTTATTTAACTCTTAGGACTTATCACACCAGTGAATATATCACCAAAAATTTTCTTGAGTTTACCAACTGAAGAGAGATTCCGAAAGAGTCCGAAATGCATTTTGTGTTTATTGTATACATTTTAGATTCAATCATTGTAAAATTTCTTTATTCTTTTGTAAACTTAGATATAAAATAAAATAAAGAAATATTTTGGTAATCATATTCACTAATATGATTTATGAACAAAGAAAGGTTACACATATCCAAATAGAATTGGACAATTACTGCAAAATTCGTTATTCAGCTGTATCACAGACAGATACGTAAATGGATTACAGTTGTGACCCGATTGAACGCCAAAATTCTTACTCCAGTATTCTATAAAAAAGTCTCAATATCTCAATATGTAATTGAGATATTGAGGAAATATTGAGTGGAGGAGATATTGAGGAAATATCTCATCCACTAGGAATTATCACATCCACAGACTCCAAAAATGCTAGCCAATCAAATGGTGTTTGAACCGATTACACATTGAAATTTAAAAAACGGAATAGAAGCATGAGATAAATTATTCTATAAAAAGGTTCGCAGAGGCTCACTGTGTTCAAAATTTTCGGTGTATCCGTCGTTTATAGGTCTTCGAACTCAATACAACGCATTCGGCATTACGCACAGTTGATGGAGTTTGCGAAAGACCTTACCATGGACCAAGGAACTGAATAAAGATACGAAGTGGTACGAAGCGATTCGTTCATTGACGCCGCAGCAGTACGTTCGGGAAATCCTGGTAGGGCTGCAAACAGCCATTTTTCAGCAACAGAATGCACGGTCGCACATAGCTAGGATTTCCCGGGAATGTATCCATCACGTTGAGACACTTTCTTAGTTTGTCTGGCCTCCATATTTATTGCCCATTAAGCATTTGTGAAACCAGATGAGACACTAGCTTAGGCCACAACGAGCGTGAGGGATCTGGAGCGGCAGTTACATATAGGCTATAAGCAAATCTGACTCAGGATAGGATAAGTCTTCATGTCCGAATGTATCGCTGCAGATATTCAGGATACCTGCGGCGATACATTCGGACAAGGAGGCTTTTAGGCACCATAGACTATCATGCCCTACAAAATACTAAAGATTTTAAATTCCGCAGTTGTTTCACAGAAAGTTGTCCCTTTGTTATAATACTGTAATCAATTATTACCATCGTCTTGATGTTCGTACTAATAAAGTTTCGTTCAATTCCAACAATTCCTTCTTGATGCATAACGTTTTCGAAAATGAGTATGTAATATTTAAAATTATGAAGGAATAAACTTGGAATAATTTTTAAATAAGCTAATTAACAAAATTTAATTAAAATTAAATGAATTTTTCTATAAGCGCAATGAATTATAGGTATATTTATCATCTGGATTGGGTGGAATGAGTGGAGCTCAAGCTAAAGCAGCTGTTATTAGTGGATGCATTGGAGTTATTGCAGAAGTAATTTATTCTGTTTTTTTTTTTTTTTTAAATAAAAGTGTTCTAATTTTATTCAGTTATAAATTTGCTTTTAACAACAGATCAATTACGATGCCATTAAAAAACGTTACGACCAAGGATGGGTACTGGAAATTATAAGCGATCTAGATAAATTAGTGGAAAGATTAAAGTAAGTTCATTCAAAACTTAAATATATAACAATTTTAAGAATCAGCGATCTATATTTAAATACAATAATTTTATTTACATTCGTATTTAAATAACCAATATACAATTTTTCTGTTTTTCAACATGGATGTAAATGTTTCCATACTCGTTTAATAGGAAGATTTATTATTCATATTATTATATACTCAGGAAAGGATCTAGGAGCAAATCTTACGGGTTTCAGGTCATATGCCCAATGTGGTAAAAACCTCACCTTATCACTCTGGAGAACAAGGTTTCGAATTCTAGTCAGAAACCTCAGGAATTTTTCATTATTGATCTATCTCGGTCATGGACCCGCCCCTCCCTGCCCGGCCACTTCCTTTGACAGAGCAGAGTGGATAAAATCAATGAACATTAGTAGTTGGTCGAAAGTCCGCGCCTCATCAACGGGCTGGCTACGTAGTCTTCCGGATTTTCTTCACGTGAACAACTAACTTTTTCACTAGCCTCTATTTAGGTTTGTAACACCTAGATAGGGGCCAGTTTCCCATAGAAAGTTCGCCGTGGAGGCATCTCCTTTGGCAGATCACCCACGTGCTGCATTGTCACGTCCCATCAAACCAAACTCTTTGATGGAAATGGGAAAAAAGGGCCCTTTTGATGTCCACAATGAACATAGTTAAAAAAATTATTTTTAATTCATGTAATGAAATAAACAAATATAAGCTTATTGCTCTAATAATTACTATACTGTACTTAAACAATTTTAAAAAATTTAGTAAAATAGAAAATAATCGAAATATTAACATTATTTTAAATAAATAATAAAGTTCTTGCTAGGAATAAAAATCTTCAGAGGAAGATTTTCCATCGTCCCCAATAGAACTAACAATGTTCCTCTACATTACAGTGAATTAGGATTATACAGTATCTATTTATTCAGATATTTGTCTAATTCAGCCTGCTTCATCAGTTTTGTTACATGAGAAAAAAAACGTTTTGCGATTCTCACAAACAAAACTACAGATCTACAAATATCACACTAAAACTCGCTGAAAACGTTATCTTCCACTTATTGATATCGTTTATAAGAACTTGCTATTTTCTGCAAGTATGGTTGTCAGATAATTGTGTAGAAAAATTATAAAATCCATGTTCAAAGTAATCCAAAGTCGCGTGAGTAATGACAAAATTTTGCACATTCTTTTCCAAATGCAATTAAATGCATAAAACTTTCGATAGGATGCAGCTCAAAAACTCCTTAAGTAAATCCATTTTCCGGTCAACGACAAAGATTTCACTTAGTCAAGCTATCTTTCTCATATTTGCTTAATAAATATAATTTGTAGTAGTAACCATATGGCAAAGAAAATAAAAATGGCACCGAAACCTGTATTCTTGGTTCGAGATTGGCTCAGGAAATTTTTATGAATATGAACATATGTTGATTCTGTTTCTCACCATCAGTTGTCATTACTGGTAAGCTTGACCGAATCTATGATGAACGGGAATAGTAGTGTCTGTCCAGACGTCCACGAATTAAAAACACGCAAAACGCCGGTTTTGCGTGTTTTTAATATTTGATTGTAGAATCAGTCTTTGAATAGAGCAATTTTATTAACATGACAATATAATATCACTAATTTATAGATCAATAAATAAAATAAATTTAAAAAAATAACCAAAATTCAATCAGTCTTAGACCTCATTTTCACTGATTCTGAAATGCATTCCCGGTTGAATTGTAAATGTTACCATCGGCCTACTGTAGAGCAATGTTAAAAAGTGAATAGGCCTATTGCATTTTCTGTTCGAATTATCTTCAATATCTTAAAATTTCAAAATAATACTTGTAATGCAATGCGAATATTTATGAGGAATGACAATGAAATCTATTAAATATTAATTATCCGACTTTGAATTAACGAGAACATTTATTGTTCATGATACATGTTTAGATAATATGAAACATTCAAATTTATAAAATAGTGTTTGAAATAGAGATGGGCAAATATCACTTTTCTCGAATTCGAATATTCCGAATACTTGAATACTGTACTTAGAACTTAATTACCTTATAGGCCTATAACTTATTTAGTTAATAATTTTATTTAATATTTATTACTGTATTAACTTGTTTTATTTATTTCTATATATCAACAAATAAATAAAGTAAAACAAGAAATAATAAGAAGACAAACAATTTACTAAATTCTAAGAAATAAAGTTTCAAGCTTTTAATTTTGACTGAGTTTCGAAGTAGGTTTTTTAGGTACTCTTATCTCAACTACAATAAATTAACGAATAATTGTTCTCATTCTCGCCTACTGAGGATTTTTATTTGCAAAAGAAAAAAAAGCATTCGAACACATTCAGGATCTATTCTTCTTCTTGTGGCAAATAAAACCAGAGGTGCCGAAGATAAGGTTGCCAGATTGGGAATTTTTTCCCAATTCAGTCAACCGGAAAACATAGGGAAAAAGTATTAATAGGGAAATTTTAAACGTTTCTATTGTATCCCATGTATTAGTTTCTCTAAACGGAGAAAATTCCAATTAATCTTATTAAAATATCTATAAGTTCTATCAGGATGTTGTTATAACTTACAATCATATAATAACATCCTGATGGAACTATAGACTTAAAAAAGTAAGAAATTGGTGAATTTACTTTTTCTTTAATCTCACATATTTTAAAATTTGCTCATTTTTACTTATATTGTTTGCTTTTTTTAATTTTAACAGAAAATTTTTAACCGAAATAGTATTATTAAAATGTTCAAATATGATCAGTCAGTATTAAAATCATTAATAATTGTATCATTAAATTCTTTTTTTTCAATATTAACGATTATTACAAATTTTTTAAATGAAAAACTAATTGTCAAATAATTATTAAAGTAATAATTGTCAAAATAAATCAATCAGAATTGTTCCATTGGTTATTTAACGTGAATCTATAAGTTTTAAATATAATTTTTCAAGTTAAAGTTTAATATATTTGTCTTAAGTAACATTTAACTTGAGTTTATAAAGCTTTATATTCTTCTCCATAACTAAATAAATATACACAATTATAAACAATCAATTATCTAATTCTTAATATATTAGTATTATCAACTAAAAATAATTGGAAGTGTTTCATAACATGAAGATTTAATAAAGCAAATAAAATTTAAGAATTTTCTTATTTTTTCAGTATATTTAAAGTAAGCAAACACATTTAAATAGATACAGTATTTGGTCTATTATAAACAAAAATATGTACAATCGTATTATAATTTTAAAATTAAATAGTATTTTTAGTTTATATTATGTATGTATTTCCAACTAGTTTATACAATATTAACAAATTCTTCCAATTTTTATTGAAGATCTCTCAAAATACTAAAAGACCAATAGCGAATCCAATACAGAAATCTTTAGAGGAGGGTGCAGAAAAGAAAGAGTACGCTTTACAAAAATTTTTACTACGGTACCTGAGGTGCCAGGTTTGCTGGGAAAAGCTCAGAAGAGGGGTGCAGCTGCATCCTGGGCACCCCTCTAGACTTGCCCCTGCTAGAAAACTATAATATTGCAAACAATAAAATATTCAGTCCATTGAGGTGAAACCAACAAGATAAGTTAAATGAAATATAATATACATAGAATACATACGAAATTTTTAATACAGTATATATTTGAAGTGACAAAACAAAGGTGTCATTTATTTAGCATAAACCAAATTTAAGCACTGAAAATAAATTTAGAATTAAACAAAATGCTTTTATTTTGTGCTGTTTTTTTATGATAATATTTCTAATTATGATCAACAACAAAAATTATAAATTAACACTATTAAAAATTTATATACATAAATTACATAGAAAAGCTAAAAAGAATAAAGAAGTGACAAGTATTGGATTTCATGGAAATATTGTTGATGTANTAAATTAACACTATTAAAAATTTATATACATAAATTACATAGAAAAGCTAAAAAGAATAAAGAAGTGACAAGTATTGGATTTCATGGAAATATTGTTGATGTATGGTAAGTTTTAAAATTATATTTCCCAACTAATTTGTTATCTACGTTATTATATGATGCTATAACATTGAAATTAATTTATATCTCAGGGAACGAATGGCTCATGAATTAGATACAACTAACAACAGATTAATAGATATGGGCTCTGATCAAACATCGTGCCATAATCCTTTCAATGGGGGATATTATCCAGTCCAAGTATAATTTTAATACATTTTTACAAAATTTAAAGTATTTCTTCTTTAAAAATATTGAAACTCATATCAAATTTTTCAGTTATCATTTGAAGAGGCTTTAAAATTAATTTCAGATGATCCATCAAAATTTAAAACTTTAGTTCAAGAAAGGTAACTTTGTAAAGTATCTTTATTATATTAAGTTAGAAATATAAGATGTAATTCTTTTTAACAGTTTAAGAAGGCAAATTTCTGCAATCAATAAGCTTGCTTCTGATGGAATGTTCTTTTGGGATTATGGTAATGCATTTCTGCTTGAAGCTCAAAGAGCTGGTGAGTTATAGCAGTTTAATATCAAAATTTATTAAAGTTCTTATGATATACTTATTCTAAACTATATTAATAGGTGCTGATGTTGGATATCAACAAATGGCAACATGTATTAAATTTAAATATCCATCTTATGTTCAAGATATGATGGGGTAAAAATCAAAAATAATTTAATACAATTATTTTATTGTAAAATTCAAACATATTTTTTGTTTGTGAAACTGTATTTTTTTATTATTAATAGTATAGAAAACAATTATACAGTAAAAAATTCTGTAGAAAAATTGTTTTAACTTTGCACACATTTTTGCTTGATCTTTTTCAACTTTCTTTAGCACACTCAATAGTACAAACATTTGCAAATTTTATGATTAAAGTTTTAATTCTAATTTACTCATGAATATTATATTATAATCACTTTGGGATGCACCTAAACTAAAAACAATAATAATGTAAATAAGATTACAATTAGAAGAAATTCTGGATTCATCAATATGGACATGTTAAAACAAAAAAAGCATCACTTGAAGTCTTATTAATTATAATTATTATTATTAATTAATATCTAATTCTGTGTATTGTTTGTCTGCTAGTCTTGAGTATAATTAAAGTAAAAAATATCAGCAATTTAAAACAGTAGAAGTGTGTACATCCAGTACATGATAATCTAAAATGTCCAGTAATCCAACATCCTCTGAAAAATAGCCAATAATTTATAAACAGTTTTTTCATATTTTGAGCATGATGAATCAATGTGAATGCTAATTTTGTTTAATAATGTGTTCTTCAATGTTTTTGCAGATTTTTCAATTCGTTTTAACAGCAAGTCATACACTTTATGAGCTTTAGACTGATTAAAATTGTCTGTGTAAACAAATTGGAAGTATACAGCAGTGTGTGCTAGGTACATAATCTACAGCAATGTCCATGATGTAAGATGTACTGTATGACTTACTGAATTTTGCAAAAATATAAAAACATCTAGTAATCTGGCATTTTTCAATAATCCAACACCACTCCAGCCTTGTAGCTGCCAGATTAACAAACTTCTACTAATAATGAGCAAATAATGACTGAAATAATTAACATTTAAAGCACTGGTTAAAACAAGTATCAATAACTAATAATTTTAAGCAATAATTACATTAGAGCTGACAGCATAAAGTGTAAAAATGCCTATTAACTCGAAAAAATTATGATAACCATATTCTATCAATAATTAAAAGAAGTGAAGTTTTTATAATTTATTTTAACTTGTATATTTTGGATCTGCTAATTTTGATAGAAATTACTGACTGAAAAACATTAGCCATGGTTATAATACCTGTAAGTGGAGTCTACTGTATTGGTACAAGTGATTTCTTTTTATAGATGAAATTTTCACAGTACAGTGTGTCTCTAATTCATTATTACAAGTTACAATATTGATTATTTACAATAAATTTCTATATTTTTACATAAATGACCTTGTACCATGTAAGTCACAGATCTTTTTAAAAAGAATTGTTTCAACATAAAAATTGAAACAATTCTTTCTAAAAATTGATTTTACTCCTTTTACAAACAGGAGTAAAATCAAAATTTTTTAATTTACCATTAGAAAAATTGGTTCTAAATTTGTTATTTGAGATATGGTTTATATATATCAAGTAATATGTTTTAAATCTACATTAAAATTAAGAAATATTAATTAAGAAAGAGTTTAAAAGATAAATTTTGTATTACTCACACTGATTTTGTATATTTTCTTTTTACTTTTATATTTTTTCAACAGATACATATTTTCATTAGGCTTTGGACCCTTCAGGTAAAAGTTATGATTTTGACTTTTAATATATTTAATTAATTATACTTTCCATTAATTTTTTTTTCTTAAACACATTTAGATGGGTTTGCACATCAAATGATCCAGAAGATCTGAAAATTACAGATAATATTGCTTATAATGTTTTAGAAAAAATTGTTCAAAAAGAAAGTAAGTATCATGCAATAGCAATGATTGAAATTTGAAAATTATGCATTAAAAGTATGAATATTACAGAAACCAAAGCAATAAAAGAACAGTTGAAAGACAATATGAAATGGATTGCAGCAGCTGGAAATCATAAATTGGTAAAACTAAATCTTTAAATATAATTTATATTCAATGTTAAAATATCAATATATTAATATTTTATAAATATTAGGTAGTTGGATCACAAGCAAGAATATTATATTCTGATCAGAATGGAAGAATTGAAATTGCCTTGGCATTTAACAATGCTATAAAAAGTGGAAAAATAAAGGTTTAAGTATTCCTAATTTTTATAGAATAGATATTAGAAAATACTTATGTTAAGAAAAATTTTAGTTAGTACACACTAGCAAGATAGTTGAGATAGTCAGATCCCATTTGGATTTGGCCAGGCCTCACAGGGTGATGTCACTCCCATTATGGGCCTGGCCAAATCCAAATGGGCATGATTTAAAGGCCCTCTCAGTACCCACAGAGTAGAGTAATATATGGAAAAAATTAAATGATAATTAGATGTCATTCATTATATACAGTATATGTTTGAGCAGTTACATGTCAATAGTTTTCATTTAAGAAATCACACACACACATATATATATATACACACACACACACATCATATTTCCTCAATTAAACCAAGGTTTAATGAGGTTATTTTTAAAACATATGTATCCTCCAACAGTTTCTTATATCTTGCCACAGGAAATGATAGACTATAAACTGAAAGAAATACCTTAATTACTTGTATATTTTCCAAACTATCAAAATAATTTCACACCTTCCTTATGTCTTAGGCTTTGAACTATACATTGCTCAAACTCTCAAAACCATTTATTTGATGTATTTGTTACCGCTAAAGCTCAAAATCCGTTAATGTGTACATTACCTAGCTAATCTGCAGATTAACTAGGGTGATCCGTTAAAGCTGCAAAAATTGTTCAATTTCTCAAATTACCTAGGTAATTTGCAGAGTATCTAGGTAATCTGCACATTAACGGCTTCCGTATCGTTAAAGTTCAAAAGTTTGTTTCTTTCACTTCCTTTCCCCACTCCTTCTTTTTACGTAGATAAATTTAAATCCTAGAATGCAAGCAAGCACCGAATTGGTGAGTAAAATCAAGAAAAAATTCTTCGCAAACCTCTTTAGCAAAGATTTAAAATACAATACGTAGTGTTTTAATAACAAACCAAAGTATGATTCCATAATTGAAGATGTAAAGCAAATAAAAGTTTCCAAGAAGAAAGAATCATCTCGAGATTATCAAATAATTCAAAGGTGTGATGTGTTGACTGTACGAGGCTGTGAAAAACTCATTGAGCCGTTGTCAGATGCGCGAGAAAGGTTTGAAAAAGTTCGTCCATGCCGGAGAATTGTTTGACATTCGATAAAAACTGAAGAAGACCTTGAAAAATTAGAAGATTCACAAGAGACTGTGATTATGAGATCACAGTCAAATCTTACTCAAGAAGACATTCCGTTATCCCCCGCTTCTACAGAATCACCTATAGAAATACAAGAATTTACCGATAGTAATCTTAAACTGCCTTCTATACTGTTGATTGATGATGCAGTCACGAAGAATATTCAGTTACCCTGCACCTCCAAGGAATCGCCTCTGCAAGTTGAAGAAGTCATCACTGAGTTACTCTCAACTTCAGCAGAATCGCCATCACAGTTTCGTACGGAGCCTGTAAAGAGCACTATACAAGACATAGTCTGTATTGTTTGCTCAAAAGCAGCATCAAGTGCTCACAAGTGTAAATCGTGTGATATGTTTGTTCACGCAGTTTGTGGTAACGTAGATCCTAAAGAGGAAGGGTATGGTAAGAATGTATTGTGCATAGGGAATTCGATCCCGGTCCTTATTTCTAATCCCGGGATTTCGGGATTATACTTAGTCAATCCCGGGATCCCGGGATTATTTCGGTATTGAGGGTTAATAAAAAATAAGAAAATCGTACAGAAATCAACAAATCAAAATTTAGACAAAAATCAACATATTTTACAGTATACACCTAGCTAATTTAATCACTGTAACTAATCAGACTCAGAGTCAGACTAACCAGACTTAAAATCACTCAGTCTTCATGTTAAATTTATTCTTTTTTAAGCATCACTGAGATCTCTTTAAACTCACATAAATTGAAAAAACCTTTATGTAACAAACTATGCAAATAAACGTTGAAAATTAACAAAAATCTCTCTTAACATCGACTAAATAGACTACTTTCATATAGCAACCTAGTAAGTAGGTAGTAAAGTAAGTTTCTTAGCAAATGTATTTAAAAATAATATTAATCAGTCACATTTTTCTTAAATATAAAGAAAAATAATCTAATAGGAACATTCTAATTTGAATTGCGAAAATATGATCTGAGAAATAACAATGCATTTTGTGTCTCATCACCAAGTCTGCTTCTCAATTTGTTGCACATATATGCAGCTGCTGAGAAAACGCGTTTAGGTTTGATGGAAGTTGGAGGAATCGTTGGTAAATACTTATAAGCCCGTTCTAGTTATAGCTTCGAGGACACGGGGAAATTGGAAGAAAACAGTCCGGTCGACACAGATCGGGATTGTAGGAGTAAAGGCTACAATCCCGATTGTTTCGATCATTGTAAGCATGCATTTCTAAAAATAAACACGTTAATTTTGTAAATTCGGTCTTTGTGTGAGTCTCTCAACATCCAGCAAACCACTACTCCCAAACGTAAAAAGACTTTCTCGCATCATCCTGACAGATCAGGAGCAAAGCGGGGGTCGTAACCTTTTCACCTAAGGTCGACCCCCCCTAAGCGAGAGGCGTCGGGTCTATATTAACCACACTGGCAAAACAAGATGGCTGACACATTGACAGGTAAAACGCACTGAGTAGTGCTCTCGACTGCGCCAGAAAATCGATTGGCGCCCGCGAAAATTCAAAAATATACAAATGAAGTATATTACCAAGTAACCCAGTGAGAACTGCTTGCCTATCATTTTAGTTCAAAATACAAGAAGTTTTATTCCAAGCAAGCATCGCAAGCCCGCTAGGTTAATTCCTGCTGCTTGCTTGGAATAAAATTTCTCATATTTTATATTAAAATGATAGGCAAGCAATTCTGTTAAAAGCACTTGCACTGAACGTTTCGCTTCATGCAGTCTATTTTGCAACTTTTTTTAAAATGACGTCAATCCCGAAAATCTCGGGATTAGGAAAACTTAATCCCGAAAATTTTGGGACTGAAAAGTGGTCGGGATCCCGGGATCCCGATTTTCGAGATCCCGGGATCAAATCCTCTAATTGTGCATCATCTGTAAAAAGAATATGGATCAGAAAATACAGCGTGATGAAGCCAAGAAATGTTTAGAAAAGCAAGCAAAGAAAATGTTAGCAGTTTCTAATGCAAAGCACCCAAACGTCGATGAAGGTTTTGCTGTGAGAATTAAAGTACCCGAAGAAGACAGCAAAAACTTATGCACGTTCAATTTTAGCTGTGGTTCTTAGTAAAACAGAGGATGGCTTTTATAAACTTGATACTAAAACAGGTATTTTAAAACAATTGTATGCAAAATCTGAATTCAGTGTTTGCAAAGAGAGATTTTTAACGAAAGAAGATGGATGTCCCTGCTGTAGAAATATCTTTACATCAAACAGCAATAAAGGAATCCCTTGGTACTGGGCAGGGTTTCAGAAAATGTGACTGCAAATCTAAAATAAAACTCTGTACCACAAATAGGCGTGCTTGTCGCAAAAACCAATTGCTACGTAATTCAAAGTGTCACCAATCTTTAGATTGCACTAATAAGTAAGTACAATTTTATCATATGTTTTGCAAATTCATTTCCCTAATTGTAGTAATATTTTAAACCGTTTGATTTTTGTATTAAAGTTTTTTTAATTGATTGATGATTGATTCAATCAACTAATTTGTTGATTGCATTAACTTGATTCTTTAGATATTGAAAATGAAATAAATAACATTATGTTAATTTAAGCGTACAGAAACGTTGCTATTGTTTCAGCAAAGATCTTATTTTCACTTTACCGAGTGCCTAGTAGGTAATTTGCAGATTACCTAGATAATCTGAACATTACCTAGATAATTTGAGAAATGGAATAATTTTCGCAGCTTTAACGGATCACCCTAGTTAATCTGCAGATTAGCTAGGTAATGCGCACATTAACGGATTTCGAGCTTTAGCGGTAACATATTTATGAATTACAGCTATATTTTAAATAATTACTGTTTTTATAGTTAACCAAAAAATAACAAAAATAAAACTTGGAAAAAAAAATATCAAAAGGATTTATGGTATCAAAAGGACTAAGACAGGGATGTTTTATCTCTCCAACTTTATTTAAAATCTATGTAGAAGGAGTATTGAAAATATGGAAAAGGAAATGTTGTAATATGGGAATAGCTATTAATGGTAAACCAATGTTTACATTGCAATTTGCAATGATCAGGTGATATTGGCAGAGGATAAGGATGATCTAGAATACATGAAAAGAAAAATAAAAGAGGAATATTTTAAAGGAAGGTTTATATATAAACATGAGTAAAACAAAATATTTATGCATAGGAGGAGCTAAAACAGACATGGAACTGGAAGAAGGAGAAAAGATTGAGGGATGCAAACATTACAATTATCTTGGAATACAAATTCATCAAGATGGAAGAGATACATTAGAAATTAATACAAGATTAGAACAAGGTAAGAGACTAGTTAAAAGATTAAATGGAATATGGTGGAGTGAAGAAATAACTAGATCAAGAAAAAAGAATATATAATGCTATTGTTAAAAGCATTCTGTTGTATGGGGCGGAGGCATGGAGAATGATTGGGGAAGAGAAGAGAAAAGTAACAATGGTTGAAATGGATGCATTGAGATCATGCAGAATCTCAAAAAGAGAGAAAGAATAACTAATGAGAGAATCAAAGACCTAATGGGATTGAAGAAAATGGTTTTGGAAGAACTTATTTGGTTTGGACACGTAAAACGAATAATTGACGAGAGACTCCCAAAAATGTCAATGAAATACAATCCACAAAAAAGAAAAAAGAGGAAGACCCAGACAAACTTGGTATGATGGAGTAGTTAGCATGCAGTGAAAAAGGGATTAAAGAGGAATGGTGTATGGATAGAGAGGGTTCCTGGAAATAGGAAGGTGACGTCAGACGCCATAAACCGAATATAGATAGATAGATAGTTAACCAAGTTCAGCAGCTTCCAGTTGGCTATTATGTCATCACTCGTGTATGCTTTGATGTTGTTATAAGAATCTTTATTCCTATTCATCAAAGCAGACATAAATCTTGACTACCACTTTCTGATTTAAAATCACCATCTCTTTCTATAAGAGATGGTGAGTTTGAACCAAAGTTTTCCTAATTACTGTTTGAGTGATAAGATCTTTGACTTAAGAACTTGATTGCAACTTTCCCAAGCTCAATATTTGACAATACAATTTTATTTCAAAAAATGTTTCTTGGAATAGAAAGTGATATTGGAAACAATTTGAAAAAATGGAAGTTTAGCTACCATCTTTAAACCATATTACCCTATACAAGGGTGGCAAACCTATGGCACACGTGCCCAAACTGGCACTTAAGGAGGCATGTAACATACATGATTTTTTCACTACTCAACCTTTAGGTTTATCAACTGATCATCGGACTTCAAATAACAATATTTAAAGAAATTAAAAACTTTGGCACAAATAAACATCTTAAAATGAATGCTTATTTAGCTTTAAAGATGTTTATGGCAATATATAGAATGTGGGCTCAAAAAGGTTTGCCCTATATAGTGCAATACTTCAACATGTTTCCTGTGTTTCAATCTGGGGTATTTTTAAGGAAATTTATTAATATAAATTTATATACTATAAATCTAAGTGTACATGAAAAACTGCCACACATTTTGAAAGTAACTCACTTCTTTCTTTCTTTGGATTTTTTAAAAATGTAATATGATATATTTCACCTATAAATACTGAAAGTTTAATCTGAAATTTAGTAATAACATTCACAGACTGTTTAACCTTACTAATTAATCTCATTCATAAGCTCATGATTAGTCTGAATATTTTTTGAACAGCTTATTTATACTGCATATTTTATATACAGTATATATACAGTAAAACCTGTGTAAACTAGAATTGCACAGTTTTTTCCAGTTAAGCAGTTCTGTTTTGAACAGGTTTTTTTTTAAATAGAAAATTGTTCCATTCTGAAAAATCTTTCCAGAATGGAGAAATTTTCATCAGGTTTGAATCAGGTTTTACTGTATATACTGCATTTTTTTAATAATAAATTGTAGTAATACAATAATAGTTTTTAACATTACAGGCACCTATAGTGATAAGTAGAGATCACCATGATGTGAGTGGAACAGATAGTCCATTTCGTGAAACTTCTAATATATATGATGGTTCTTCTTTCACTGCAGGTAAATAAATGAAATATTTTATTTAAAAAATACTGTAATTTACTTTATTTATTCTCTACATAAAATTAATATTGCAAAGATATGGCTGTACAAAATTGCATTGGAGACTCATTTAGAGGTGCAACTTGGGTTGCTTTACACAATGGAGGTGGCGTTGGGTGGTAAGTTAAATGAATTTGATATTTTTAAAGTATTTAGAAAAAAATTTATATCTACAATATATTCCTAATATCTTTAGAAACATTTCAATGAAGTTTTCCTACACATCTTCACATCCTCTGTTACCCAGTTGGCCAAATTTGTTTGATACTGTTTTTTGTTCTTGTTTTGAGTTACAGGTTCAAATTTTACTTTTGTCATGGTCATTTATTTTATTTGCATCTTTAATGAAAATATGTTGGATGGAATTACAGTCACTGTCAAGTTTTTGCATTATCTAATGAATTATTATCCAAGATTATAAATAATACCTAAACATTTTATTTTTATAAATTAAAAAGTAAAAGAAATCCTTTTACTTTTGCAAATTTTGTTTCACATAATATTTAAAGCATAATAGTCATTAAATTCAATGATTAATATTAATTATTGCAAAATAGGTTTTAGTAATTAGTTAACAATTAGTAAAATGTACAGAAATGTGTTAAACAAATTTTACTATTAATTTACAATTATGAGTAATATACAACATATAATGTAAATCAAAAAGCAACATTTTTTCCATGTTACTATTGGCAATGTTAAAGCAAGAAATTTAAATATTCTTATTTATTTATTTATTTTTTTTTTTATCAGGGGAGAAGTTATTAATGGAGGTTTTGGATTAGTCCTTGATGGAACTGATGTAAGCAAGCTAAGATGATAGTGCTTTATTAATCCTAAAATATACAAATAAAAAGTTTTGAACTTTAAATTTTATTTTTTATATTGATTAGGATGCAGCAACAAAAGCATATATGATGCTTTCTTGGGATGTTAGCAATGGGGTAAGTAAATTCAAATTATATTCTCTATACAAAAGCAAGGTATTTCAATATCCAGTTTCAGCTTGCAAGAAGAAGTTGGTCAGGAAATATTGATGCAAAAAATATTATACTCACTACTATGTCTGAAAACTCCAATCTACGAGTGACTTTGCCGAATGCAGTAGACCAATCAGTATTAAATATTGTTTAAATATATGCAAAATAAAAAATTTATTACATTTGAAAGAAAATTACTAAAATATACAGTTTTGTTCTAAAAAATTTAAATTTATTTTATAAGTTTCAAGTGATTTTAGAATTATATATAATGTTTTTAACAATAAAATAAATTTGTTGCATATTTACACTTTTTCTTTTTGAATGTTTTTAACTACTAAAAATAATTTAATCCTCAAATGATACAAATTCAAGAATGTATAAGAAAAAAAATTTTGTTTATACAAATAATTCTGTTCACCTTCCACCAGATGTGGTTCGTCTGAAAGAATTGAAATGCTCCATATATTGTTGGACAGTATCTACAGGTGTATATAATTCATTCATTTTACTTTGTAGATATTGAGGTGGTGACTGTACACAATTTCCCATAAATCCTTGTAAGAACTCTTTCATCAAATCCCAGCAGTTAGAAGGAATTACACATGGACAATATTCTACCTAAAAGATTAAATTTTAAAATTAGATTCATTAATTAAATAATTTGTTATCAAATAACATATCCAAACAGCACCTTAGATCATATTAAAATTATCAATTATATTTAATTGTGGGCTAAGATTAAAAAAAAAAAAATAGTTTTAGAGTATGTTGAATCCTTTAAACAGTTTTTGGAATCCTTCCATTTCATTATCAAAGCCTGTAACATTCAAAATAATAGATTTGAATCAAACTGTGTAGATTTCAATTGAGTTTTTCAGAATAAACTCAAATGTACAGTAGAAACAGTTTTAAAAACACAAATAAGAGAAGTCTCAAAAAATATTTAAAATAATTAAAGTTTTTTATTGGATTAATCAGTTTAGCATTTGTTTTTCTTGGTAAAGCAAAACATTTTAAAGGTTGCATTAAAACATAATCCTGCTTCAGATAGATTTTGTTACTGTAAAAATTTCAAATTAAAAAACTGCATAAGATAGCCAACAATAATATATAAAGTATAGAGAGAACAAGAAAAAAAATTAAAAGTTTAATAATTATAGAAACTGCTTTAAAATTGTTAAGTGATATAGAAAATTTTACCAAATGTTTTTTGGATTACAGACCTATCTTTAAGGGAACAAAGTACATATATAAAACAACTCAATGCTTACACTGATCCAGAAAACACATATAACACACAAAATATTAAGAAAACATTGAGAAATATTTCATGTTGCATAAATAAAAAAAATTGATAATTATGTATCAACTTAAGTATTGTCATTTTATTTAGCAGTTTATTATAAAAAACTTAAAAAAAAAAATCTTAAATATTTTCATTAAAGCATTCATACTGTTTCTAACATTTCATATAATAATCTCTTATTTCTTTCAATGTTTCGCTTTGAATTCACAATTAATACAGAATGTTTGTTAAAAAATCCAGCAACAAAGTTGCTTTAATGTTTCCAGTAACATTTAAAACTGCATGTGTGGTGCTATTTGTTATAAAAAGTTTTTAAATAAAATATCATACTTTTAATTATTATAAAATGGCAAAAAGCTTAATTTTGATGATAGGAATAACTTTTATAAAAAATTGTAAATGCTAATAATGAGTAAAATCATCATTAAGTCACACCCTACTTGAGATATGACACAACCAGGGCAGAATAATCAATGAGACAAATGTCTAGGGCCCGGTCAAACTATTTTGAAAAGATTTGTAAATAAGATAGTTTACTTTTCTGTTGGACAACTGTATATAATAAACAAATAAACAAAAATATATTGCTTTTTATATGGTTATTGTGAATTCTAAAATCTAAAATGTTCTTATGTGTATTTATTATTGTATATTAAATATTTTTTATTAATAAAAATTTAAGATTTGTTTTAGTTTTTCACATTATTTAGTTTTGATTTATATTTTTGTGTGCTTACTTCTTGTGGGAGAGGGAGGATGTCTGGTAAGAAAAAAATGTCTAGGGCCCCAAAGTGGGTTAATCTGGTCCTGGGCCCTTAGTCTAGAGTTTTTTGTGTTGTACTCGAACAGATGTCATCGAACTCACTCGTGTTACTATGACTCACATAATCGGTAGTCTCAAGTTAGACCCTTCGAGTGAACTCAAAAAGCGAGAGGAAATGCGTCATACTCACTTGGTTACGTATGTCGTTAAGCACGATGGGATTATTTACAATGCATCTGGGTTTGCGACTATACTGATTCGACCAGTCAACTTGCATGTAACAGGTTGTAAACAAATCAAAGTGAATTAGTTTACACGTGTTACAGTTAAAAGTTTTGTCTTATAGGAATATAGTATGCAGAAACAAAATGGAAACCCTCAATGTTTTATTTTAAAAAATAAGTGAAAAGAACTAAAAGAAATATTAGTAACATATATAGATAATAATAAGAAAATGAACAGCGGAAAATTCGACAACAAATTTACAAGAAAAGGACAATTTGATTTGTGGAGAGAATTAGTTGAAAAATTAATTGTGTGTGTTGGAGCTAAAAAATCTGTTGTGTAATGGAAAAGGTATTTTAATTTAATCCTTTCTTCATATAGTTTTTTCCTTGATCTATTTCTTAAATTGTTTTGTCTATTAAGATTATTTATTAATCAGAACTTAACACTTCTGATTAATAAATAATCTTAATATAGTGTCTGTGCTCTTAATAATTTATGCTTATCATTTACTATCATTTTAATTCTCCTTTTTGATGAATTAGATACTTCTTTTTATTTTGGAAACATTTGCTGTATAATTTTATGAATTAAATTTTTTATTAGTGTTGACTTGACATGAAAAGAAATGGCACCTACTCATGGTCGAAAAATTTGTTATCTTCTCAAACAACGTCTTTTGGCTCTTTCTAACTCTTCGATAGTGATAAGAATTGCGTATCCGTCAGCCATTTTCACTTTTGTGTAGCAATCTCACATGCTCGACTCAACGTGAGTAGCAACTCGCATGGTGAGATGGGAAAACACGTGAGTTATAACTTGAGACTACCAATTTGACGTCAGAGTATGAGATGGTACCACGTGACACGGTCAACACGTTGGGAGTTGTAAAACGAAAAACTCGAGACTAAGGGCCCTGGACACAACCCCTCTTTAGGTTCCCACCCCACTGACCTTTATCTGCCAAAATTTAATAACATCAATCCCCTAATACACAAACTTCACTGCAAAATTTCAGAAATTTTTGACAAAAAGCACAGGAGTTATTAAGCTTCAAATAAAGTGAACAAAATCATGTCACCCAAATTTTTTGATTTCTCGACATTTCAAGGTCCTCAGTCCAAAAATGTAAAAATCTTGGGGGGTCATTTTTTGACAAATCACCATACTTTCCCTATGTTATACAGGGTGTATCAAAAGTCACTATCTATTACAAAAAATAATTGAAATTTTGAAAAGCAGGTTTTAATTTGAGAAAAAGTTCTATTCAAAGTATATTTTACAAATAATTAATGTTCCACATGTTGATGATCAATGGCTCTACATAGCTCAAATTGATAGGAACTCTTCCAGCATTTGTAGTGTTATCTTTTGAACTGCACCAGTAATAATATTTCTAAGTTCAGCAACATCACTAATTATCCTACCAGTATACACCTTACTTTATGAAACCCCAAGCATAAAAATCTAAAGGTGTTAAATCAGGGGAGCATGCTGTCCATTATTGGAGTCTGCCACAATCAATCCAGCAATTCCTACCTACAATTGTGTCAACAGCAATATTCTAGACCTTATTACTAAAAAACTAAAATATGTAAAACCTTTCTCATAATTCCAATTAGTTCTCGTAATAGATACTGATTTTTGATACACCCTTTATGTAACAGAGCCAGGAAAGTAAAATCAATTTTAAAAAATCAGTTTACTTTCAACTACTCAAAACTGAGTATATGTTAATAAACATTGCACATAAAACTTACATTAACTAACATACAACTTACTTAGTTTTATTGGAAAGTAAGTTAAATTTTTAAATATTCATATTAAACATTTTTATACTGAAATATTTTCAATCATTTCTGAACAATTGATTAAATAGAAATATGATATACAGTGTCTTTTATATATAATAGGCTGACTTTGTTTTGTCACACTTCTGTTTGTTATGTCTCAGTCAGTTATGCAGTTCACATATTAACAATTCATTATGGAACTTTTAATGCTACAACAGTGTAATAATAGTTAAACATTTTATCAGAATGGATTGTCCATTATGAACTTTTTGATGTAAATCAGGCTGAAAAACTTTTTTAAATCTGAAATTAATTGACAAGGTCTACAGCATATTTGGTTTCAATGGGACTATGCCACATCACACAGGTTCTGCACAATGCATTTCCTGGCTCTCTAATGTCAAAATTTGGTGATTTTGATTGGTCTTCCATTCACCTGATTTGACTGTTCCTGAGTTTTTCTTTGGGGGTATTTAAAAGAAAGGGTTTATAATAACAACCTAACAACAATTCAACAGGTTAAAGAAAACATTTGTGAAGAAATCCAGGAAGTATAGCAAAATGTAATGATAAATGTGATTTAAAGAGGTTTTAGATGCAGATATTATTTTCTATACTTAATGTTAGTTAAATAAATGCTGTATATAAAATAAATTAATCAAAATTGTTTCATTTCAAAATTAATCAAAAATAAAATCAGCCTGTTATATAATAAACATCCTGCAGATGATTTAATAAAATGCCAATTCAAGTCTGTGGAGCTGATACACAAAATCATCAATTCCAACTCTGGCTCTTCAAATTTTTAGGTTCATAAAAGCTCAATATGTATTAATAATATGTAGCATGATCATAAATGATACTGTAAGATATTTTATCACTATCACATAATCAGGCTATTTTTTTAAAACTTATAACCCATATTTAAGTATAAGTCTATGGTTTAACTTTATATAGAGGTTAGAGTTGGAACTGGTGCATTTTTACCAACTCTGATTCCAAAGTCTTGGTTTATGCTTGTATTTTGGAAATTCTCTTTTCCTTCTGCACTATTTGAAAATTTTGAAAAAAATTCAAGCTATTGCTATGTGATTGATTATCAACAGCAAATTTTTCTCACTATGTCAATCAAAGTAGCAATACAATAGTTATTATTGAATACTCACTTCCACAAGAATTCCTCTGAAACTGGGACCCATTGAAACACTTCCTACTTTTACAAGGAAATCAGCTACTTCATATCTGGGACCTTTAGATTCTATTTTAGTAGATTTCTTTGGTGTGTAAATTCCAGCCATTTTCAACATTAACATATCAAACTGGGTATCAGCAACAAGACATGTACCTGTATCAAGAAGTGCAAAACATGTTGCTGGATGTTCACTATCATGGATTACATTAATTGCTCTGTTTGGATCTGTAGAAAATAATTTAAATTAAGTATTTCATTATTGTCTGTCAAAAATTATTTATTCTTCTTACTTATATGTGGAGCAGAATAATATGTTTCACAATCCACACAAAATGTTCCTGCTTTTACACATCCAATTGTTTCTAATCGTTTTTGTAAAATTTCGGCAGCTTGTTGACCACTTTTTCCTTCGGGTATTGGAAACTGATGAATGCTGTAAATAATGAAATGATTTTCAGTCATAATTAATACAGTAGAACCTCGAAAACTCGGCCTAATGTGGACCGAAGGGTGGCCGAGTTTGTGAAAATGCCGGGTTATCGGGAATGGGGTTAAAAAAAATAAGTATGAGTGTTTCCTCAGAAAATACTGTACTGTACTTGTATGTATTGTTTACTTGAGAATATAACAGAGAATAAACTGCCCAAATACCCTTAAACAAAGGAAAAGTACGTCTTTTATGAAGGCATAGAGCCTTTACTACATGAAAATGAAAATTAATGAATACACTGTGTACAGTAATTTACCTGCTAAGATAGACCTCAGAAAAATACTTTATGAGAGCTTTTATACTTTTATAAAGCTGTTTATAATGAAAATTAATTAACTAAGAATTTTTTTGCCCTGCCAGGGTGTGGCCGAGTTATCCGGAGTGCCGGGTTATCGAGAGCCGAGTTTTCGAGGTTCTACTGTATTTTCATTATAAAACAAACACACGAACACATGCATATATATTAGTGATGGGCTGATTAATCAGAATTAGTATTGAGAATTTTTCAGTAACTAGAATTGAGAGAAATTTATCATGATTTCTGATTCATAAAATGATTCTTTAATAATTAATAACAAAATTAATTATTTTTATTTCGTGTAATTATTAAAGCTGTTTAAATTATGATTATTAACAATCAAGTATTATCGTACCCTAAAGCAGTGCTTACCAAACGTTTTTGTGTTCATGGACTATTTATTATTTTTTTCATTTCAATCCCTTTCAGACTAGTACTTTTATGAAATTAAATAAAAATAATTATAAAATGAAGAAAACAGAATTTAAATGCATTTTTTTTTTTTTTTAATTTTTAGGCTGAAGCAGTAGGAAAAATACAACAAAACTTAATCATTTTGCAAAAATTGATATGTGGGCTGTTTTCAATTGCTAGTCCACCCTTGGTACAGTGGTTGTCTTTAAAAGCTTTCTAAAAAGTTTTAAACAGGTTTATTAATTTAAAATAAAACTATGAACTTTTAAGTGAATCTCATTGTGGCCCATTAGTAAACTGTCAGACAACTGGTCTGCAGACCACAGTTTAAGTAGCACTGCTCTAAAGTTTCATTTTGTTTGCTAAAAATAAAGAATAAAGAAAAATAATTATATTTGCAAAATTTATAATTTTTTTCTAAAAATCTATTATCTATTTGATAAAAGAAATTATTAATAAATATGTAAATAAAAGAAAATATGTCTCAGAATTAACCGTGAAAAAATAATAAGCAAAAAAGATTTCAAACAATATATGGTAATTACATTACATACAAGGCTTTAAACTTTGAAGTCATTTCTGGAAAATAATGTTTTACACAGAAACTCTTTTGTTCTCTCTGTGAAAGCCTACAAAGAATTTTTGATCAAGTGTAAAGTGATGAATAGGGAAAAAACAAAAATATCTCTTCGAAATTTTACACTCAAAAAGTAGAACATGTTAACAGAAAGTGACACACATGCCGCCAACATTTCCATTGTGTCAATTAAAGAACACCTTAGAAAGCCATGAAAATGAAATAACCTGCTAGCAAACTACAGTAAAAATAAAATTTTGGTTAATGTAATGCTATTGTCATAAAGAGTTTCATTTTGATGATAGTGCAAATAAACCATTTTATGTTAATATCATTACATAACTGACATAGTATTTTAATATTATATTAATGGGACAACCAAAGTGACATCATTTATGATGGGGCTTTGTCATAATGTAACGATGAATGACATAAGGGGTTAAAAATGTGAAATTTTAGCACAGCATCATTTATGAATGGTTATCCATCCATAAATAACAGTAAGATTGCAGATGTGAATGATGCTGTTGGGATCTTAACAGAGATGTAGAGCATGTCCACAGGAGCAAAAAAGTCAAAGGAACCATACCTCTAAATGTGACTTGTCATGAGATATAGTATTTTGATATTTTAAAAGTGTTTTTCTTCCTACCGCCCCAGTAAAACATATTTTTAATTTGCTAGATTATTTTATGTAAAGCTTTATAGGGTCTTCTTGCCCTCCGAAATCAGCCTAAAACCTATTTCCAGATGCTATGGGGAGTCATGCTGTGTGCTCCTCTAAGCCTATTGCATGTTTAACAGACAGTATAGCATGTGATAAGACATTCTAATGATATTTATCAGCAAAGAATAAAGAAAAGTCCAACACCCTACCCTTTGAAAGATATTTGCCTCCAAATGTGAAATCCATCGGCAGCAGCTCTGGTCATCATGCTTGCAAGAAAAGTATGTTATAGGCCCAGTGATCAGTGCCTATAACTATAATAAATGCATTAACTTCTATTGATCAAAAACCGTTTTTTCCATGTACCAGTACTACTGCTTATTCTGAATGCTCTGAATTGTCAAGGCCTGCTTTCACTTGCCTTGACCGATGTTTCACATGTAGTCAAGCACCTCAGTGCCCAGGTGGGCACGAGCTCCCATATCCTCCTAAAACTATATAACATCAAATACTTCATGAACAGTTAAGTGGGCTACTTGAAGTCAGCATAGTCACATGGGCTAAATAGTTAAATGGGATAGTGTTAGCAGAGCATGGTGTGACTCTCAATCACACGTAGCTAAGTTTGGGGGCTATATCTCGCAAAGGGTCTCATTTAGAGGTGTGGTTTCTTTGACATTTTTGCTCCTGTGGACATGATCTATAGATCTGTTAACGTCCCAACAGCATCATTCACATCCACAATTGTACCTAAATAACCTCTATCAGCAAACAACAAAATGTAATGCGATTAGCAAGATTTTCTTCTAGACTTAATTTTTGTTATAATTTATATATTACTCGAAAATTCCGGTTCTTTTCTGTTAACTTTAGTTGTAACTTTAATCCGATGCGTGATACCGTCATCCGCTGAGACTATTGCATTTAACTATTTAGTCCACGCGACTGTGCCGGCTTCAAGTAGCCCACTTGATGTTATATAGTTTTAAGCGATGTAGGAGCTCGCTGCCATCGGGTGCCGAGGTGAGAGCGATTGCTAACACGAAACGCACAACTACATATGACGCATGTAGAATAGGCAGTTTACTGATACATGTTAAAAACTGATCATTGGAGGCGAATATCTCGCGAAGGATCAACAATTCTGGGGCTGGTGCGAAACCCCTCATTCACAGCCTGAATCTTACCCGTTGCTGTACCTATCGGCTGTAGTCCAGTTAACAGAAAAATACCAAAATTTCATATTTAATGTCAAGAATTAACACTATATATTACCTTACAACTCCCATTTATATCCAATGTATATGTCTTCAGAAAAACGTGTGTACTGTACATTTGAAAGTTTGATTATAGAGCCCTCTAGTGTCAAAAAATAAAATGCGATTAAAAAATAAGAATAAATAAAATATTGAGAAGTAAGGAATACATTTTATAACATTAAATTTAAAGTCTTCATTTGTTTCCTCCGCCACAGCCCACATACGCTGCTAATTCTGACGCGGGACTGACTGTATTCCCCTTTCAGTCGGAAACCTTAAAAATGAGACGAGATATTCGAAATTACCATGTGTTTCGGGGCGGAAAAATCGACCCCCGAAAATCGGAAACTCTAATTCCTGTATATGTTGCCAGTTAGTGACTTTTTTAGTAGCCGTCAGGGTCACTACCGTGACTCCTGATATAAGACACTAGATTATTGGATAAATTTCATCCGTTATTATTAAATACAGAACATCCTCAATATATGTCATACTTAAGTTCCTAAAACGCGTCGTAAACGAAATCGTGTAATCGAATATCAATTTCTCGCCGAAATAATATATTATGTGACATTGCCGACCAACTAAAAACAATTTATGTGCAAATGTCATAACAAGGTGTCAGCCGGATATTTGAGCGATTAAGACTTCGGTCTACCGCTCTGACACCGAATTCGGAATGTTGAAGAACCCAGGGCGGTCTGTACCTGATCTGTCAATACAGTCCCGGCATCCCACATTGTGGATCTTAAGAAACCAAAAATGGGTAAGATCAGAGACGGTAGATTAACTGGTCTTTCGACTAATAGTTCAAACTTAGCTACAGACAATATTTACCACTAGTTGACGCCACTGTTAGCAGAAGAGCGTTGTTCTTGCTATGTGTATACTGAGGTCAGTGCTTTCGAATTACAATAATTGTGTTTTTTAGCTACATAAAAATGCTAACGTGCTTTGTGCCAGCATGCAAGGCAGGATATAAGTCATCGAATGAGAAGAGACATTTTTTCCGTGTTCTTAGCGATAAGATTGAGGAGTGGATGCGATACATTCCACGAGACGACTAGATGCTAACAAGTAAATGTTACGTTTGTGACGTACATTTTATAAGCAGCAGAAACTTCGTGCTCGAACTGTGTTAGTCCTAAAACACCAGTCCTAACAAACAGTGCTAACACAGAAAACAACAGCTGTGCCCTAGCGCCTACGCCCTAACGTGAAAATCTGTTTTTCTCTGGATTGTCGAAATACTGATACTTTTTTTGATATGTGGAGCAACGCTATTAAGGGAAAACTCTGTTAATTTTTGGGAAATTTCAGGTGTGCTCAGAGGGTTAGTCATTGTCATAATACCCACCCTACTTATAGCATAAGAAATGTCTTCGCATGGAGAAAAAAATCCGACTAGCGCGCAATTACTATATTCTTATTTATATTATAGCGTTAACAGCGCCTCTATTGGCATTTATCAGAATTAAGATGCAATGCGAAACGTCTGTCGGCAGGTTGAACCATCTGGCGGACACCCGAAAGCCAAGTACCAATAGTCGTGCTGTATGACAGAAGTTGACAGGTTTGGCGAAAATAGGGAATCCCTACAGAGCTTCCTTCTCAATTTGTACTTGTACTGTACGTATTCGAACAGTTCTATTGCATATCAAATTGCAATTATTTTGTTAATAATTCTTCTGACATGGGTCGAAGTATAATTAATGATATTTTAACTTGGTTAGGATTTAAATCTGAAGCTTAAAGACGATTCAAGTAGTGAAACAGACATTGACAGTATTGATTTGTTTAATGAAATCAATACTTTAAAGTTGCATTTTCCAGAAAACCAGTCTAATGATCCACAAACCCCATTACAATATCTTTTTACTAATGACTTAATTTCAACAGTTCCAAACACAGCAATAGCACTAAGAATATTACTTACATTGCCGGTTTCAGTTGCATTTGGTGAAAGGTCCTTTTCAAAGTTAAAAATTATAAAAAACTATTTAATTAATTAATTAATTTAAGATCAACAATGCACCAGCAAAGACTAAGTAATTTAGTTTATAGCTATAGTTT